GTCGTACACACTTTAACATGTCGGCCAGTTTCATGTCCACATTTGTATCTGAACACTTCCTGGTTTTGTTTTTGGTTGTGTCCCGTCGCGGCGTGTATTGGCTCAGCTCCGGGTGCTGTTTAGATCAATGCTGTCACAGAAAAGCCTTGGCCAGCTGACAGAAAACATATCGACTGTGATCACTGAGCCTTGCTAATTTCATTTTACGAACCAAAAGGAAATCAATAACAATTTTGGAGCTTTTAATGGCGCATTCTTGTCTATACTTTTACATGGATTTATTAACTCAACACATAACGTTGTTTTAAAATGGCCCTCTGAGTAAACTGGAAATGCAAAGGTGTAAAGCTATATTACACAAAATTACACTTATTGTGAGATTTAAGACATGTTAAAATGATGTTACCTGTTTTGTTTCATTCACACATGTCTGATTAATCCTGGTTTATTAGTCTGTTTACATCTCCAAAGCTCAAAATGTCCTGTTCAGCCTTGTGATGTCATGAAGTGATAGTTTTCAAGTTATCAGACACTTTTTAGATTTAGTTGAGTAGAAATGGGCAATTCCAGGACTGAAATTGGATCCAAATGATTCTAGTGAAGCTGTCTGGAGTTTTCATTCATTAATTAATTTATTTATAAGTTTGAGCCAGGTACAACAAAATTCAAAAACAATAACAAAAATTGTGATATGTACATGAACATATTTGGGACCCGGTGCTCAAAAGGAGTATCAGATGGTTCACTTTTTTTTTTTTTTTAATAACACCTGATAAACCCAATATATTAATTTTTCCCCAGTTGCATATACACTACAAGTTGGGTTTGCCTTCAGATACTACTACTACATACATACTACATATACTACAAATACTACAAATGCAACTACAGGATGTCAAGTTGGGTCATCTAAACAGCACTGACGTCTAAAAAGTTGAACCTGAATGTTCATAGTTTTACTCTGAAGTTCTAACTGATAGTTTGTTCAGTTTTTGTGTACAATGGCACCAGGGTAGACAAACCAGGTAATTGCCCCTGATAACGACTGGTTATATGTTCAAATAACAGCAATGACCACTTTGTGAGCGCGGCGGCGCCTCCTTAAAAGCTATGACCGAAAAGTGCCGAAAAGTGCCGAAAAGTGCCGAAAAGTGCCGAAAAGTTCCCAGACCCCCCTCGGCAGGACGCCAGTACTTTGACAGCAGCAACGGCCCACGGGCGGCCGAGTCAAGTGAATGTTTGAGCAGCCATCAGTTCAAAATGAAGCGAAATTTTTTTAAAAAACAAGACACTGGTAAGTAAATTTTGCGCGAACAAGCAGACACCGTGCAGCAGCCTGCAGATACTGTGCGACACATTACAAACGCACGCAACAGCGTGTGCCCTCTTGTACCAGCGTGTATCACAGGGCAGGTTAAACTTTATAAAACATCCTACCTGTTCATCTGCCTCACGTCAGTGCGCCGCTCCTCACCTTTCCCTCCTCCCCGCGTAAAGCGCACAGGCTCCTCCTCGATGCGCTGATTAGAAGAGCAAGACAAAATGCTAAACAAAAACTAATCTAAATGTATTTTGCAGTGTTGGCTCAGGGCAGAACTACCGTGACATTTGGCTGAAGTTTGTCTAATAAAAGTGCACAAATGCATCTGTGTTTGTCATAATGTGCGTTTGGTTTAGTAAATGTGCAGAGCCACTGCAAAATCAGTGAGTGAATGTAACTCCAGTTAGGAACTTGAAAAAACAGGTTTAAAAATCCTAATCACTTTCTTCTCAATTTTGTGTAAAGTGCAAGTGGAAGTTTTCTTAACGAAGAGGTTCTCAAACTGTGGGTGAGGGTCCAAAAAGTGGCAGAAAAGTTACACAGAGCACCTTTAAGCACAGCATTTTACTACTTTTACTTTGTCATGTCCCACCTCTGGAATAGATAATACAATATATCACATGTGTTGAGGGTTCATGTCTTCAATTTATTCTACAGCGACGACACAGCTTCATATCGTTACTTCAGACTGTGTAATTGTGTGTATTTTTTACCATACTTTGTTCAAACGGTGTACTTTTCCATACCTGCGGCCTGTATATTTTACTGTCATACTCTCATGGGATGGCTTGGAGTGCTGTAGTTTGCCCGGATGAAGAACTCCGTGTAGCCCTTTAGCCCCGCCCCCGAGAGGACACTGAATTGTGGGTAATTAAAATGGCGCGTGTCTGTGGACGAGCCCTGCAGCTTCATGTTGTCTTCGTGCAGATTAATACATATTTGTGTGTTCGCCTGTGGGGCTGGAGGCATCTGTCCGTCATTAAACATTCATGAGACTCTCCTCACGTCACACACATTAATGGAGCCACACCACTACGGCCGGAGACGGGAGAGTTGCCGTGACGATAAGAGACAGACCTGCTCTTAAATGCATTGTGTAACTTTTCTGGTAGAAGGTCCGTCAAATGCTTTTCTCCACTGAGATGTTGTTGCTTTGTCTGGAGGTTTCACAGTGTGGAATTAAACTTTTCTAGCTTCATGGAGACCAAAAACAGGTCAGGCTCAGGTCAGATCTGTGGAGAGGCAACCCTCTCTGTAGTCCTAGTTTAGTCCTGATTTATTCCTAGTTTAGACCTGATTTATTCCTGGTTTAGACCTGGTTTAGACCTGGTTTAGACCTGGTTTAGACCTGGTTTAAAGCTGAAGTAGATCTGCTTTGGGCCTGCTTTAGACCTGATTTAGTCCTGGATTAGACCTTGTTTAAATGTGATTTAGACCTGATTTAGACCTGATTCAGACCTGATTTAGAGTTAGACCTGGTTTAATTCTAGTTTAGACCTGCTTTAGACCTGCTTTAGACCTGATTTAGACCTGATTAAGAGTTAAACCCAGTTTAGTCCTCGCTTAGACCTGATTTAGCCCTGGTTTAGATCTGACTTGGACCTGATTTAGTCATGATTTAGACCTGATTAAGAGTTAAACCCGGTTTAGTCCTGGCTTAGACCTGGCTTAGACCTGGTCTTAGACCTGATTTAGCCCTAATTTAGTCCTGATTTAGAGTTTGAACTGGTTTAGACCTGGTTTAGTCCTATTTAGACCAGGTTTAATCCTGGTTTTCTAGTTTAGACCTGGCTGTCTTAGAACTGATTTAGACCTGACTTAGACCTGGTTTGGATCTGACTTGGACCTGCTTTAGTCCTGCTATAGTCCTGCTTAAGTTCTGCTTTAGTCCTGCTTTAGACCGGTTTTGGACCTGACTTCGACCTGGTTTAGTTCTGCTATATCTTTAGTCCACAAATCAATGTCGGGAAGAACTGCACAAGTCCGTTCAGCCTCGAGGTCAGAAATTCTCCCAAACTACAACACACATAACCCCCCGTAGATCTGACCAACCCCGAGGTGCTGGAGTGTTTTCCCCTGTCCCCAACTCGATGATTTTAACAGCAAAAGTACCACAAGTATCGTTATTTGTACATGATAAAGTATTTGCAAAGTCTGAGTGTGACTTCAATCTGAACTCCAGACCCGTTATCTCCACGGAAACGGCGCAGAGGGGGCGTGGCTTGGGCTGGGGAGCGGGGGAGGGTTGGGCGCAGCGGAGGGCAGCCGCACGTGAACGCCCAGTGGGAATTATTAACCAAATGAATCCGGGTTAATTAGCTGCGGATGTGCTCTAAGTGCTTTTAATTGCACGAGGCGGAGACAAAAAGCCTTCACTGCACACTTAATTACTACATTCCACACTTATTACTGATACCATTACTACAGTATTACAACTTTTACTCAACTTTGGGCACATCGAGAGCGGATTTGAACCATTAAGTAGTGAGGCAAATAGCTGGGAGCGCTTGTTTTTTGGTGTGTTGCCAGTTCTATTGCTAATCTACAGAGATTTTGGCTCGAAATGACAAAATCGGAAATGTTATTCTGCAAATCTGTGTCGCTTTGTGTCCTAATATGTGTGTGTGTTTGCTGTAAATCGGTGTAAGAACTTATAAAAACAAGAAGTAAACTGTTTAACTGCGTAATATTAAATGGTACAACAATATTAAATCTAAGACTGTGCCAGGGCTTAATAATTTTGGAGAAATGTACAATATGTGGGTGGATGTTTTTTATACTGTGGACTCAAATCTGGACGAGGAGCATTTTCGCTGTTATACATCGAAAAAAAAGAAATTAAACTAACATTGTTTTTTTTTCATGGCTTTATGGCTTTCATGGCATCCTTATTAGGGATGGGCATTCGATTAATTCACCATTATAGAACATTAATGAGGATATTTTATTGTTGACTGAGTGATCATGTCCCTCTGAACAATTAGTATTACTGTATTTTTCGGACTACAAGGTGCACCGGATTATAAGGTGAAATAAACAAAACAAACGGATGACACTTGAGAGTTTTTATTTCCTACGAGGACGACTCAAATTCAGATTGAGTAATAATGTGTTTAATGTAGCTTTGAGCACATTTGTTTACGTTTTACAGAAATTAAACTTAAACCCACATGACTAATTAGCATAAACTGTAAGCGATTACAAAAAAAAAAAAAGAACAGCTCGCTCCTTGTGCGATGATGTGGTTCAGCTTCTGTCTGACTAAAGAACACGACTCGGTGCAAAATATGTGAAAATCCGTTCGAGGTCAGTCAGCACAACTAAAATGAATGCATAAGGTCGCACTGTAGATTTTTCAGAAAATTAAGGGATTTTAAGTGCGCCTTATAGTCCGAAAAATACAGTACTCAAGTTTTAAACAAGGAAGAACAGTAATCAGTGTTTCCCAAAGAAGTGAGGAGCGGGAGTGCGCGGAAAAGAAGTGAAGAATGGAATCTCTTGTGACCCACCTGAGAGTCGTGACCCAGATTTTGGGAAACACTGGCTTAAAACACAGATGGAAATAACATGGTTTATTTTATTTTTACAGATTATCGTTCGCTTTGTGATGTGATAAAAGTTTAATTGAGATGCCAGTATTTATCTTTTGTGACCGGGGTGTTGTTTTGTTTTGTCGCAGGCGGCTGGAGCGTGTGGGGCCAGTGGGCGCAGTGCAGCAGTGACTGTGGAGGAGGCATCCAGACGAGGAAGAGGAGCTGCCAGTCGCCCCCTGAGGAGTCGTACCTGTGCGAGGGCGTCCTGGAGGAGGGGAGGCCCTGTAACAGCCAGGCCTGCGGGACCACCAAGACCAGTAAGACCCCCACCCGAAATACACCACTGTACTAAAATGTGCCCTCCAGCTGCTCGTGGCAACGCTGATGATGCATGAGCAAGAAAATTAGTACTGTTGCCCTAGAAATTAATAATACAAAACTAAATTTGTGTTGAATGATAAAGAATACTCAAGATGGCAACAAAAGTTTAGGAGTCACAAAAACTTAAAGAATGAAAACTTAGACTTTCCACACTCAGAAAATATAGATTATGTCATTTTATTTAATTTTATTCAAGTGTTATTTGAACATATTTTGATTTAGGTGGTTTGACTAGGGATGCATTTTCATGTTTTAGTCCTGGGTTAAGCCCGGTTCAGTCCCGATGTAGACTAGTTTGGGTTCTTTTCTAGTCCTGTCTGGTCCAGGTTTAGGTGATGAGTATTTGTTTAGACCTGGTTTAATTCTGTTTAGACTTGGTTTAGATCTGGTTTAGACCTGGGTTTGTCCTGATTTAGACCTGGTTTAGACTTGGTTTAGTCCTGATTTACTGTTTAAGACTTGGTTTAATCCGAGTTTAGTCCCGGTTTAGAGTTAGACCTGGTTTAGTCCTGTTTAGTCCTGGTTTAGACCTGGTTTAGACCTGGTTTAGAGTGAGACCTGGTGTAGTCTGGGTTCAGACCTGTTTTAGACCTGGTTTAGAGTTAGACCTGGTTTAATTCTGATTTAGATCTAGTTTAGACCTGGTCTAGTCCTGGTTTAGACCCGGTTTACTGTTTTAGACCTGATTTAATCTTGTTTTAGTCCTGGTTTAATCATAGTGTAAAGTTGGACCTGGTTTAGTCCTGATTTAGACCTGGTTTAGTCCTGGTTTACTGTTTTAGACCTGGTTTAATCCTAGTTTAGACCTTGTTTAGTCCTGTTTAGAGTTAGACCTGATCTCATCCTGGTTTAGTCCTGCTTTAGACCAGGTTTAATCCTAGTTTAGACCTGGTTTAGTCCTGGTTTAGAGTTAGACCTGGTTTAGTCTTGGTTTTGTCCTGGTTTAGACATGGTTTAGACCTGGTTTACTGTTTTAGACCTGGTTTAGTCCTAGTTCAGACCTGGTTTAGTCCTGGTTTATGGTTTAATCCTGTTTTAGACCTGGTTTAGTCCTGATTTACTGTTTAAGACCTGGTTTAATCCTAGGTTAGACCTAGTTTCATTCTGATTTAGAGTTAGTCCTGATTTCAACCTGGTTTAGTCCTGGTATTTACTGTTTTAGTCCTGGTTTAATCCTGATTCAGTCCTGGTTTAATCCTGGTTTAGAGTTATTCCTGGTTTTGTCCTGAATTCGACCTAGTTTACCCCGGGTTTATTGGTTTAGACCTCAGCTTTAGTCCACAAATCAATACCAAGAAGAATCACACGAGTCCGTTCAGCCTCGGGGTCAGAAAGTCTCCCAAACCTCAACACACAAACCCCCCGTAGATCCATCAGGGCTGCCATTGTGAGCGGAGGGCACATGTCCATTTGTCACGATGGGCTTTGACGCTTGGTCGTTACATGTAATTGTGGCTCTACGTGTCCAGCTCTTCTTCTCTACGCTTTCTCTCATCTCTTTCATACCGCTGTGTATCTCTCCATCACCTATAAGTCAGTATTTGACTTAAGGAGTGCATGTTGGAAAGGGGACTTTGATCGATGAAAAGTAATAATGACTTTCTTTCTACGAGCGCACACATAGTTTATCCAAAGCGTCTCACCAAAGGGCTAAAAGGACAAAGAAAAATTGACCCTCCATTTTGAAATGTATTGCTTTTTGAATTGTGTGACTTTATTTTGATCAAATGGCTTTCTTCGTAGTTCTTTTTTTTTTCTTCTTCTTCTTCCAGATATGTTTTTTTGAAAGAAGAATGCTCATACTTTCTACTTTTTGTACTTTTGTTCACATATACAAACACGACACTTCACACCACATCAAAAAGTCCCAAGTTTGGCTGATGCTACCGCAGGGTGACCATTCTAACTGTGTCCCGAATAGAGCAATAAGATCTACATATCCCTCCTCCCATACCCCCCCGGCTCCTCCCTCCTCCATGTAGGCAAAGGGCGTCACCTCTCTCGCAGCCAATCGCTTCGCTCCGTGGACAACCGAAAGCGCGAAGACGTAGACAAGCCCCGTCCAGGACAAGCCCAGAGCCAGCCGCCAGGTAAGGGAGCCCCGGCATCAGCCACTGTGGCAGCTTGGGTGACCACCAAACCAGAAACACAACCACAGCAAACACACACACACAAACAACATACACACAGTTAAAACAGAGCGTGTGTCCAAATGTCCCAGTGAAGCCTTATCATCACAATGGACTGATTCCAACATGGACCCTGCCCACATAGTGCAGTGGATTGCTCGTGACAGGCTGCTGTGCCGGGTCTGTTCTACTCTCTATCTAATCTATGAAGCCCCTGAAGCTCTTAAAGTGATACTGCACACAAAACGACGGACCATCAGTGTCTCTGTGTTGACTTTAGCGACAGGATTTCAGTCAGATTTTCAGTTTGAATCTTGTTTTTGTTACATCTGCGTGTAAATTAATATTGACTTTTGTTCTTTTTTTTTTTTTTCTTTTTGAAATAACTCAACATTGACAGAGCAATTTATTGATTAATTCGATTGGGAAAGAGCATGTTTATTGACAGACATGATACAACCTGAACATAAAAACAGACTAAGGCTCATTTCCATCTGCTGCCCTCAGGGTTAAACAGGCCAAACAACAATAAAAACAATGATAAAATTTCAAATTCACTGTGCAAGAGATCAAATTTACATTATTGCACACTGCACTCATTATACAGCCCATATTATTGCACCCCAGTCCACATTATTGCACACCTGCACTCATTGCACACTATACATTATTGCACACCAGTCCACATTATTGCACACCAGTCCACATTACTGCACACCACCCATTGCACTGTCCACATTATTGCACACCAGTCTACATTATTGCACACTGCACTCATTGCATAGTTCACATTATTGCACACTGCACTCATTGCACCTTGCACTTATTGCACAGTCCACAATATTGCACACTGCACCCATTGCACACTATACATTACTGCACACCAGTCCACATTGTTGCACACTACACTCATTGCACAGTTCACATTATTGCACACTGCACTCATTAGTTAGGAGTTAGGCAGTTTCCTCAAATGCAGATGGATAGTTTCCTACCGAAAAGCTTTGCGTTATGTTTTGAAAATGAATGAATTCATTTATTTTTTAACTGTCTGCGTCTCTTTGTTTTACAACTATACAAACAAGTGTGCGTGCCTCAGACTTGCTTTTGTGTGGAGTATCACTTTAAATGTTGACCCCTACTTCCTGTTTAGCCCCGCCCTGCTTCCCCCTCAGGTTCTTGTATGTGCAGACAGAGCTCTCCTGCTGTGATCTCTGGAACTCTACAGTTGTACTGAGCTCAGGTTTAAGTTCTGGACTAAACATGAGTGACATATCCTTAGACACGCATTCACTTCTGCTGAAGTCAATGTCGAGGATATGGCATCAGAGCCCTGACACCAAAGTTACCCCAGCCCAGAATTTATATAAATAATTTACAAACTTTTCTTTCCTTTTCTTGGGCCGCCTCTTTTGAAACAACAAATGTAAAAAGTAGAGTTTTAGAATAGATTGTAATTGAATCAAATTGTAATTTAAATAGCTTTAGCTGTAATTATTAGATATTAAAATGTCCTGTTGAGAACAAAATGCCCCTGTTGCGTATATAAAGTGCCAATTATACTAGTAAACTTCCAGACCTCTACAACTGTGGATAAAAATAACTGCAAAATAATTAACAATGTAATGAATTGGATGTGATTTGTTCAGCCATAGTGAACAGTAATGGAAGAAACCACTTACAGGATGCATTTAAGTGCTCAGTTGAATCAGAGCATCGTGAGAAGAGAAAAATAAGTACAATTCTCTCCATAGAAGAGAGCTTATCTTCTCATGTTTTTGGTCACATGTTTTTAGGCCAATGTCACATAAAGGTCGAGGAAAAGAGAGACAGCATGTTTAGTTATTAACCCAGTCAGACCTCATTTCACAGCCCAGGCTCTGCTTAGTCCAGCCTCTGATTCATTTAAGAGATGCATCTGGCCCTGGGTCTGTTGGGCGCTCAGTGCTGTGGGTGAGGGTCAGAGCACACTCCTCCACACCAACTGTTTACCGCAAAGACGACTCGAGTACAAGAGGGAGTTCAGGCTCAGTTCAGTTGAGCAGAGAGATTATGAAGGCTGGGCAGAAACACTTTTCATTGTGTTCTTATACAGTGAGGACAAACAAAACAATAGCACAGGCTGAACAGCTGAGCACATATAAACACTGAAGAAGAGCGAGTGTACGTCATGATGTTCACTGAAACAGACTCAGATTGAGAGTAGATATTGAACTCAAAATCTAAAGTTTGAAGGAGGCGGTCCCTGAAATACCTCCGTAGACTCCACCCCCTCACAGCACCACCCCTGTCCTTATTTGGCCGTGGAGGCTGTTTCCTGCATGCTAATTGGTTGTGGTGCTCTTTGTCCCGCCCCTTCCTGCTGCAGTGGACTCGTCCTCAGGGGAGGAGTGGTCGGCGTGGAGTGTGTGCTCTGCCACGTGTGGGGAGGGCTGGCAGAGCCGCACTCGCTTCTGTGTGTCCTCCTCCTACAGCACACAGTGCAGCGGGCCCCTGCGCGAGCAGAGACCCTGTAACAACTCCGCCGTGTGTCCAGGTAAGCCCCGCCCCCATCCTGCTGACCCCGCCCACCCACTGCCACGCCCATAGATGCTCCGCCCACTGCCCAGCTCTGTCTCTCCTCTGGTGTATTATACTCAGATACTGTGTGTCCCTGATACAGATGCACTTGTTGTCAGTATTTTAATCATCCACACATTACTTTTCAAAAGACAATGAAATACAACAATATATTTATCTTGTTGACATGTTTCCACCACCAGCTGTTTTAATAATAACAACACAACTACCTAACTCCAGCCCTACATGAGCCATTACCAAGTGAAGATCTTCACTTTGCTTTTGAGCTCACACAATAACACAGCAATAACAGAGACTGTTGTTCACTCAGAGCAGCACTTAGGAAAAATAGTCATCAGAAAAAATACAATGGAAATGATAAGTCATGAGAAAGCCAACACATACTTGGAGGTGGTGGTTTGATGAGATAAAATGTTTAGAAAACCACTTTATAAATTTAAAAGCTGTAAAAATATTGTTCAGATACTTCTTAGGACTGAGACAAGACCAGCTCTGTTATTCCTTCAGTAAATCTTCCATACTGCCACAAGTGCCTCTTTATTTACACAGTCATATTGTTCCAACGTGAATATACAGACACCTGTGTACTTGTATATTACACCACAGGACAGAACCCTCTGCCTCCGCCCAGCCCCTCTCCCTTCACTTTAAACCTCGGACTCCCCACTCGACAAGCACTTTGAACCCAAACCTCACTCCACAGGGCTCTGGTTGCACATTAGCTTTGGTCAGGCTTTCCAACATGCAGGGCGACTCATGTAGACCAGAATTAGACTTCAAATAAACGGCATAAACTGTCCAAATTACTAGTCAACCCCATACACACAGCAAAAAGTCATATCTGCTGATTTCAAATGACTTGAATTCACAAAGTTTACTCTGATTTGGACTGATGTAAATGCACTTTTAGGTCTATTTAAGGTATGACAGATAATGTAAGTGTGGAGTTATGTGCCACTGACAATGGAGCTAATAACTAGATTTAAAGACCTACTTCCTCTTTTTGTGGTTTCAAAATGGGGTTTTGCAGCTTTAGTTGATAATAAGTCAATTTAAAGAGTTGATTCATTCATTTTACAGTTTTTTCCCACAAACGGCTAAAGATCTAGTTTATTTGTTATGATACAAATTGTGTAGAACAAATGAATGTACAGAATGTTAGATGAGGTAATATGAAGTAAGACACTTAAAGAGGCACTATGTAACTTTTGTGAAGAAGGGTTCGCCTCCTGTTTGTCTCCGTAACAATAATACTGCCAAATTAGTTTCACACTGTACTATTTATTAGCATTTATTCATTTATAGGTGTGTGTTGTTGTTTTTTTTTACTTATTCTTAAGGGTTTCTGTCTTCTTAAGGCCAACACACATCAGAGAGTGTGTTGCGTGTCCATACATACTGAAGCTGCGTCTCCACACACACTGAACGCCACTTGTCCCACATGCGTCCACACACACACTCACACACTCACACACGCACACATATACACACACTCACTCACACACTCACACACACACACACACACACTGAGCGCCACATGCCACAGCTCTTAGAAAGACTTGAACACATATCTTGCGGTGTTATAATGTGTTATTTTTGTCCGTCACAGAGTAGAGATGTGTTTGTACACACATGTGCACCCAGTGTGTGCAGAGCGCCCGGTGTGTGCAGAGCGCCCGGTGTGTGCAGAGCGCCCGGTGTGTGCAGAGCGCCCAGTATGTGCAAAACACCCAGTATGTGCAAAACACCCAGTATGTGCAGAGCTCCTGGTGAGTGCAAAGTGCCCAGTATGTGCACAGCTCCCGGTGTCTAAATGCTCATAGAAAATAATAGAGTGCCACACATTAAAGTGTCTCTGTATTTACTGTGACACGCCTCTCCATAGATCTGACCTGTAACTGTAACTTGGAGGCATTACCTTCTTGTCTCCATGTGGATAGAGAAGTTTAAATCCATTTTGTGGATCTGTCCAGCAAAGCAAAAACATCCGTATGGACACAAGCATGTGGCGAATCCTCTTCCAGAAAGGTTACACACTGCTTCTTTAAAATGACAAAAAAAATACTGTAACATCGAAATGTAACAATGATGATAATAATAAGTAAAATTGTAATAATTCTGACACAAATCATGAAGAAACTGTTGTGAATTCAAGTCATGTGAGTGGATGTAGATATATATTTTTTGCGTCTCCTGGTCTCTGGCTGTCTAACGGCTACACTAGGCGCTCTGATTGCAGTGCATGGTGCTTGGGACGAGTGGTCGCCATGGAGTCTGTGCTCGTCCACCTGTGGGCGGGGCTACAGGTCCCGAACGCGCACCTGTACCCCGCCGCAGTTTAACGGAGACCCATGTGAAGGCCCCGAGAAGCAGACTAAGTTCTGCAACATAGCCGTGTGTCCAGGTGAGGAAGAGGACCCCACAGTGTCATCATCATCATCATCTTCATCATCTTCACTTTCAGTACTTCATATACACATCATATACACGTCATGATGTTACTTTAAAGGGACATCTTCATCTTTATTATAATATTGTAAAAACATAATGACATTTTTAACCAATGTGAATATTTTTAAGTTACGTTTTGATCCTCTGTTTGTTTAAAGTGGAAGTTAATTTTGTTTATTTACTATAGAACATGTGACTTTTTTCCCCCACACATTTTATTTTTAGCAACAAATTTAGAATTTTACAATGAGCAAGTTCTAAAAGAATGAGAACTTCGCACATCAGTTACTTGAGATGAGTGTGTTGGAGGAGAGGGAGCAGCCCAAGAACATGGAGAAAAATCCCGCACATCGTCTTACTTGCAAATTGTGAGATTTATTAGGACAAACCTTTCAACGCTTCGGTACTAGGCCTTCGTCAGGCAAACGGAATGAGAACTCAGTTGACCAAATATTAATTAATTTAATCAATTAAATATTGTGGCAAGCACCCAAGGGTGACAGGTTGTAAAGGAAAAATGTTCCCAAAACACCATAATTCAAAAAACAAAGACAATCAACATACAGTTTATTATTATTATTATTATTATTATTAGTTAGTAGTAGTAGTAGTAGTAGTAGTAGTAGTAGTAGTAGTAGTAGTAGTAGTAGTAGTAGTAGTAGTAGTAGTAGTAGTAGTAGTAACAATGACAACGATAATGATAATAATAAAAATAATCATAGTAGAAAAATCATTGAGTAATAATAGAAAAATAATACAAAAATAAGAAGCAATAAGACGATGAGCAAGTTCAAATTAGGGAAATAGGTAGAAAATGTAATGAAATTAGTTTGCAGTGAATTAAAAAAAAAATAAAAATAGGCAAGGCAAGGGCAAGGCAAGTTTATTTATGTAGCACAATTCGTACACAAAGTAATGCTTTACAGAATAAGAAATGCATTAAAATCATAATAAAAACAAATCAAAACATAAATAATCATAAAGATTCAAATTAAAAAAGAGAGACATAAATTGGAGAGAAGAGTGCAGAATGAAAACCTTTCAGTTATATGCACAGTCAAACAGAAATGTTTTGAGTCTGGATTTAAACAGCGTCACAGAAGAGTCTGTCTCACATGTTCAGACTGTTCCAGGTTTTAGCTGCATGAACCTGAAACTCTGACTCCCCTTGTTTAGTCGTGACTCTGGGCACCAGCAGGAGGCCGGTCCCTGAGTCAGGACCAAAATAGAGTCAAAATAGACAGCAACAGGACAAGAACAGAGTTATAATTCAAGTTGACTTTATACTTTTAATTGACTAATGATTATTTTTATGTGAGTTGCTCCCTTCAATTACCAGTTCTGCAGCATTTACTAGTGTTGACTCTGTTCTTTCAAAATCAGAGTAAGTTGTATCACCTTTGCCAGTGAACAAAATTCTAAACTTGCCATTATCTTCATATATGTTTGGATTTTAATGCATCTTCTATGAAGCAATTACCCCCCTGAAATTAAAGTGAATGTTTAAAGGGCACATATGATGCTATTTTCTGAACTCTTCTACTGCTATTTCTTCATCAAAAACAGACCTGGAGTTGTGTTTTGTTTCATGTTTCACACACAAACCCGGCACTACACTGTAAATTTCTCTGATCTGGCCAAGATTTATCAGGTTATTCATCTTGTTTTCAGATTGATTGTCTACTTACTAGTTCTGAAATGGTTGTATAATCTTAAAAATATTCAGATATACTTCTTCCATGACCCAACTAGTCAGAAAATCTAAAATTTAGGCAATAAAAGTTTAAAAGAAGCAAGAATTTATCATTTACCAGATTTCCCTGCAACACTTCACTTGTTTTTAGAGTCAGTGATACAGATTTGATTGATACTCGAGTATGTTTATCTAAAATTCAGCATCAATAAACTTATTTCCAGCCCATGAACACTGACCAGAGACTGTGTCATTCTAGTCTAAAAGTTGTTTATTTTAAAATAACTTGTCAAGTAAAATGATCTTGCTGCAGGGACAGATAATTTCACTACTTTTAAGTCATTTTCTGATAAATGTAAGTGTTTATATCTTAAATTTTGGCCAAACTTTTCTGTAGTGTGCATATGTAGGCATATTTTCTCTCAAACAGAAAACACTCTGTGCTACTTTGTGATGTCATGTGGTAATACAGGAAGTGCTCCACTGTGTTTTTAAACTCCATACATCTTCACTAGAATCATTTGGATAATTTCAGCTTCGAAATTGTCAATCTCTTCTGAACAAAAGACAAAAGGTCACTGTTAACTACATGATATCATAAGGTGGAAGAGGCCATTTTGAGCTGTAGATGTAGATGAAATAATAATAAAGTGTTCTCAAATATGTGTAAATGAAACAAAACACATCTCCGGGTGTGTTTTTGAGGGCATTAAAGCATGACTTACTGCTCACCAGAGTCAATCGTGCGTAAATATGGGACCTTTAATGCCTTCAGAGAGACGGTCTGCTGCTTATAAGATCATAACGTTTAAGAGCGCAGTTATAATTTAGGTTTGTGGTTGGAATTCTCATCAGGTACGGTATTAACAACAGCGACTAAAACAATATCACTTCGGAGTTTGCCTGGAAGAACCCAATTTGATTCTTTATTACACCTAAACTAAAGAGTAAACAGTTAAAGATGCATCAGACGTGTTGGCGGAAATGTGGAGAGATCAATGTGGACCATTCTCATATATTTTGGAAATGTGAAAATATTGACTGTATTTTGGGAAATGGTTTGTGATGTACTGGGGCAGGTGTTTCTGTCACCTGAACTGGTCTGTCTATACAACTTCTCAGAAAACATTCACTAAAGCGATGTATTTCTTTTCAAAGTGATGTCATTAGCTGCCAAAAAATCAATAACCAGGAACTGGGGCACAACTTCTGTGCCCTCAAAGGATCAGTGGACATCTACGATAAAAGACGTCTATCTAAAGGAAAAAATAACTCATAGACTGAGATTTCAAGAGGCACAAATGAAGAAGAAATGGGAAAAATTGGACATTATTTATGCAAAAGTAGACAATTTTTTTGTCACCTAGGCTTCTGTTCCAGATTTTATTTCCTATAATAATAATAATAATAATAATAATAATAATAATAATAATAATAAATAATAATAATATACTATTATATTAATAATAATAAATAAAAATAATATAATAGTAATAATAGTAGTATAATAATAATAATTTTGTTTATTTCTTGTTATGTTTATAATATAATATAATATAAATAAATAAATAATTGATCATATCCAATAAAATAAAGTGACATATGAAAAAATAAATATATAAATATATATATATATAATATACAATATATATATATATAAATATATGTTATCACTTACGCTAGCCTCATCTTGTCCTACGCTATAAGATAAAATGTTGAAAAGTCAAATATATAACAGTAGGAAATTCAGAACTTCATACGTCACTGTGAAAACCAAAGTCTCATCATCACTTCCGTCTCCCTTGGTGCCTGATTCAACTTGCTCTTTGTAAATTTTAGCGATTATTCAAGTTAATTTATTTCGTCCATTTTGTTTTCAGTCATTAGTTTAAACTTTTTTTTAATCCTCTGAAGACAAAAGTGTGTGTCCTGTGCTGTGCTGTGCTGTTGTGTTGACGGTGTTGCTGCCCCTAGTGGACGGCGTGTGGAATGAGTGGTCCAGCTGGAGCTCTTGTTCGTCCACATGTTCTAACGGCACCATGCAGAGGACTCGAGAGTGTAATGGACCGTCGTACGGAGGCACAGAGTGTAAGGGCGACTGGCTGCAGACTGTGGCCTGCTTCCTCGGAGAATGTCCTGGTATGAACACTGACAGTTTACATGAACATCCAACATACAACACTCGTGTCTGTGTAGAGAGGGAGTTAGTTTGTCACCATGGATCTATAATGAGACCTGGATAAGACACTCCTCCTTTGTTGTAGCTGTAGTTGTAATATTTTAACGTGGAATTTTTACATCGATATCAAGCAGATGAGACTGGGACCTGGTTTAGTCCTTGTTCAGTTCTGGTTTACACCTGGTTTAGACCTGGTTTAGTCCTGTTTCAATCCTGGCCTCAGTCCCGGTCTCAGTCACAGTCTCAGTCTCGGTCTGGTCCCGGTCTCAGTCCTGATCACCCGACAGTCTACGCAGGCGCACCTCCGGGCCCATCCCGACACTCAGTCCTGTTTCAGTCCTGGTTCAGTCTTGTTTTAGTCCTGGTTCAGTCCTGTTTCAGTCTTGTTTTAGTCCTGGTTCAGTCTGTATGCTGCACTGCAGTTTAAGTCACGGAAACGGGATACAAATTGTTATTCTTTTTTTTTTTTTGTTTTTTCATTTTGGTTTTGGAGACAAACAATGAAGAAAATATTTTTTCTTTTTTTTTTTTTCCTTATTTTTGGTTTTATTTTGAAAAACGAATGGATGAATAATACAGATTAGCTATGATCAGTCTTTATCTGCCTACATTTTTTCAGAACTTTTCATAGACATAACTTTAAATGTTAAGATTAATGTGAAGAGTTTGTGGAACCCTAAAAAATAATGATAAGGTTCAACATTTGTTGATCATATGTTTGGATATTTATTTCAAAAACAGTAAATGGCCATTCTTTGTTTAGGCCCACCATCAGAAATAATGACATTACCTAATTCTAGGACTTGAACTGACCAATACAAATACAAATACAAAAACAAATACTTTTATTTTGTCATTAATCATGCTTAAAATGTCAGAAAAAAATGAAATTGAAAAATGAAATTAAATAAAATTAGGTAGTAGTCTCTCTAGTGTCTTTTGTCATCAGTAGCCTATGTTTGAACTCTCTACTTCCTGTAACATTTTCAACTTTTCCTCTCAAATAACTTCTTGACTGGTGTAAAACAATCATTTATAGTCACAATAGTTATAATCCCACCAAATTAAATCAGAATTAGAGAATCATAAATGTCTGTCACCATAAATGTAACTCCCCGTTGTTGTGTCTCAGTGGACGGGAAGTGGCAGCCCTGGTCTCTGTGGTCGGGCTGCTCGAAGACCTGTGGGGGGGGCAGTCAGCAGAGGAGTCGGCTCTGCTCCGGGCCCTTCTTTGGGGGTCAGCCGTGTCCTGGAGACCGCGAGGAGGTGCGCCGCTGCAATGACAAGCGCTGTCCAGGTGAGGCAGCAGACAGAGAGAGAGAGAGTGATGCATACTGGGTAAATGTAAGACAGTATAACTAACGTATTCTGTGTCTTTTTGTTGAACAGAGCCTCATGAAATCTGTGCAGAAGATAATTTTAACAACGTGGTTTGGAAAATGACTCCAGCGGGAGATACGGCAGCTGTGAGGTGTCCGCCCAACGCAGTGGGTAAGACCAGAGACACGTGTACTTTGATATTTGAGAGTCGATGCGTACGGCTGAACTGAATTACTTTGTGTTTTGTGCTTTATAAATCGAAACACATTGCCTTTCCCTTGAGTTTCAGCTTCCTGTTATGTGAAATATTTTATGAGTTCTAATTTCTCAATATTCTGAAAATGATGGACATAAAAGTTCGTCAGCTCAATAAAAACTACACTGGAAAAAACAATATCTAGGTGAGGTTGCTTTGCTGCTCTTAGGGACAATATTTTCACAAACCGATGGTGTACGGGAGGAGGCGAGAACCTGTTCACGCAGAATGGTTTAGTCCTGGTTTAGTCCTGGTTTTAGACATGGTTTAGGCCTGGTTTGGGCCTGGTTTAGATGTGGTTTAGTCTTGGTTTTAAATGTGGTTAGGCCTGATTTCAGACATGGTTTAGTCCTGGTTTTAGATGTGGTTTAGTCCTGGTTTCAGACATGGTTTAGTCCTGGTTTTAGTCCTGGTTTAGTCCTGGTTTTAGTTATGGTTTAGTCCTGGTTTTAGACTTGGGTTAGTCCTAGTTTATTCCTGGTTTTAGACCTGGTTTTAGACCTGGTTTAGTCCTGATTTAAGCCTAGTTTAGGCCTGGTTTAGTCCTTGTTGAGTCCTGGTTTTAGTTCTGGTTTCGAGGCACGGCGTACAGGAGGAGTCACGGTCCACGCAGCCAACAGGAGGGGACCCGGTACCAAACAACCCACAGCCCAAGAGTTGGAGACTTCAGATCTAAAAGACCTTTACTTTGCTGTTCTTTCAAGCTCAATATTCTCTTTGTTTTACTCTTTAGTGAAAGTCTCTCATTTGTTCATTTGTTCCTGTGTTCAGGTCTAATATTGCGCCGCTGCTTACTCGACGATGAGGGCATAGCCTTCTGGGAGAACCCCACTTACATGAAATGTATCTCCAATGACTACCGCAGCATTCAGACCTCGGTAAGTCTGTCTTTTACACCAAATAACTGTTCTTAACGTTACACTGTGGATTACAGCTATTCAGTGTCAAGGGAAAAGGCACAGAAATTCACATATATTTGACTTAAAGTGCAGTATTTGAAAAAGGGGTGTTACATAAAATAGCTTTCTTCCATGTTATAAAGTGGTTCATTCATCAAAAACTTAATACCTGAAGTGGTTTTATATGTCGTCCTTGCATGTTTGAGTAATTTAGCAATCTCTCCAGGCCCTATTCAACCCCTCCGCATGGGTAGCGGCAGTACAAGCCTGTATAAAATTCTAATTTTTCATAAAAATACAAATACAAATACAAATAAATACACTATCGGTCATAAGTTTTAGAACACCACACGTTTTTCAATTTATTTTACTGTTGACCAAAAGGTTTTCTAAACTTTTGATTCATGAAAGTGTCCACCTTTGGATGATATAACAGCTGAACACACTCGTGGCTCGTACTTTTCACAATAGAAATCAAATATTCTTCAGAAAGTTCTTCCCAAGTCTGTTGCAGAAGTTTCCATAAATGTGTGACACTTGTAGGTTTCTTGACTTTTACTCTTCTGTCCAGTTCATCCCAAACCAGCTCGATGGAGTTTAAGTCTGGAGACTGTGTTGGACACTTCATGTTTTCAAGCTTTACCATCTTGTTCTTTTTTTCCTGAGGTAGTTTTGGCAGAGCTTGGACTATGTTTTTACTTTTATCTTTTTTAGGCTTTGGTAACCTCGTTCTTACCTTTGTACCATTTCAAGCTCTTCATCGGACTTGCACCACTTGAATTGCAATAAATACCAAAAAAAATTAGGGTGTTCTAAAACTTTTGACCAGTAGTGTATGTATAAGCATGATAGAAAACAATTCACTACAACTTCACAAACCTGGCACGATGTGAAAGGGGAGAGCAAAAACGGGGGGGAAGTCTAGCATCTAAAATTAAACTGAAACTCACAAAACATTTCAGTATTATTTTTGGTGAATATGTGATTAAACGTAGCAACACAAAACTCTTTATGCCCACATTTTAAACGCTCAAGGCAAAAGTCTCCAAAAAGAAATAGACGACACACATACTGAAAGCTGTTATTCAAGCTGTTTTCATTTTTATGTGATGTCGTTTGTTCCCTGTCAGACGCGGGAGCACCTGTCGAAGGCGCAGAGGGGGCTGGTGGGAGACGGGGTTTCAGAGGTGATGACCAAACTGAAGGTGACGTCCAGCGACGGGACCAGTTACAGCGGAGACCTGCTGGCCACCATAGACGTGCTGAAGAACATGACGGAGATCTTCAGAAGGGCCTACTACAGCCCCAGCGGAGCAGACATGAGGGTGAGTCTGGGGCTGTAGTAAAGTGTGAGGCTGTACATTATCGCAAGAATTTAGTTTAGTCAATCAAAGTTTATTTATAGAGCACTTTACAACCGAGAAGACTAAAGTGTGTAACAAGAACAATGAAAACAGTAGAGTTATTTATATGGATGTAACAATATCCAAATCTCATGGTACAATATTTTCACAATACACATCTCACGGTACGATATTTATTGCAATATTTTGTGAAAATATTGTGAATATGCTACTTTTTCCTCTTAAAATGCCTTGACAAGACTTAATTTAAAAAAAACTAAGATTTAAAAGTGCTTAGAACTGCTGTTTCTTTATGTAGTTTGCATCAAAACGGAGCAAAGGATCATGGTCTATGTAGTTCCCTCTGTTTTTTTTAGCTATTGCTGTGTCATAACTATGAGTTTAATCAAAGAAACTTGTGATTCGATATATTGTGATGGTCCACGAGAGACTTTTGACGATACCATATCACGATATTTTGTTATTGTTACAGCCGTAGTTATATATATTAAAATTTCATCCTTTACTTATCCAGCTATGAAGCTCAACAGTGTCCGCTTGCTTTAGTTCAGTAAATATTCCATTAATTTTTCTGTCAGACTTTTAGAAAAAAAAAAAGGTAATATTAAGACACTGTGGAAGATTATCAGCTCCTTGTTTACTAATATCCATATCATGGTTGTTTTAAGTCCAAAAAGTATATTTAAAATGTAAGATTCTGCAAAATGCTTAAAGAACTTTTCATCTGTTTCAGTTCCAGACTTAATGTTCAGAAACAGATTTTAAAAATAATTATTTAAAACTGTGGTCATTAGTTACCACGGAGCTCTATGACATTTCTCAAACTAGTATAAAGTCAAGAACAAGAATATTATTTTGAATACTGATTTTACATATAGACATACACAATATACACAACATATGACAGGAATTTAATCTTGTTTAGTAAGTATAATATATTTAGACTAGTACATAAATGGTAAGAATCTCAATGTCTTTATTTATGATTGTCCTTAATAAGATCTTGGTGTAATCTATAAAATAAAATGTTTTTTGTAAATTTTTGAGTTGAAACCAATAGAAAAATATTGCAATAATATTGTTTAATTTTAAAAGAAATGATAGAGAATTCAAGGTTCTAATACAGGAACTTTATTTTTTGTAATATACATATTGTAATATACAAAATCATGATGTAATAATTTATGTCTATAAAACATTGCAGTATAAAGTCTGGAGAGTGCATTTGTATTTCAACATCAAATCTCTCTGAAAGCTCTTTGGGACACAACAATTGTCCAAAATATCTTTATAATGAACCCAGAGCCTTTCTGAAGAGAGAAGGACTTTTCAATAGAAGTCAGATTGAGGGAAAACACAGAAATATAATAAAACAGCCTTGAGAATTGGGCCCTGTCCTGGCGCTGTCCGTGGTGCTGAAACGGCATTGCTATTGATTCAGTGAATTATATCAGACATAGAATGTACTTTTAAACAAAAAGAGCAAATGTAGTTGTTGCTGTGATTATTTATTTATCTATCTATTTATTATTTTATTTATTTATGTTTATCTGTTTGTGTTTATTTACTTTATTTGGATATTGAACTTTATATTGAATTGAAAATCTATTATCTATATGATGCATAGCAGTTTGTTTACAGCATCCGCCCACTAACCCAAAGGTTGGTGGTTTTATCCTCACTCCCACCGGTAAATGCTTAAGAAACCTGATTTTCTGTCAGTGTCTGCAAACTAGAAAAGCCCATTTTAAGTTCCATGTAAGGTTATAGTTGGTCAGATTATTAGTGTCTCAATTGTTAAAAGGTGCATTTGTGGAGGAGGATCAGCCACCTGCTCAGCTCGATGGAGATACAATCCAATTCATCTTAATTTGTATAGCACATATATTTTATATTTTATAACATTTTACTCAAAAAATAAAAATAAATAAATAAATAAAAATCTGCAGAATTATGTTCCAACCATGAGGAAACTAATAGAATCACTAAATAAAATAATAATAATAAAATCAATGAACAAAAATAATAAAATCAGTACATAAAAGCAATACAAAAAAATAAATAAATAAATAGATAAAAAAATAATAATAAATAAATAAATAAACAAAAGACACAGAGGGACCACACAATTCCTGGTTTTAAAAGCCAGAGAATAAAATTGGGTCTTAAGACGAGACTTAAAACTCTCCACTGTGGGGGCTGTTTGGACGTGGATGGGGCAGAATGTTCCAGAGTTTGGGGTTGAACACAGAGAAGGTCCTGTCCTCCTGGTTTTAAGTCTCGTTTTAGGCACCACAAGCTAGAGCTGGCCCTCGGACCCCAGGTACTGTGTGACGTACTGCGGAACCAGTCCATTCAAAGCTTTAAAAACAAATAATAAAATCTTAAAATCAATTCTAAAATTAACAGGAAGCCAGTAGACTTGCTTCGTAGAAACCGTCTGACCTCGCAGTGTTAGAATTAGTTTGCTTGACAGTAAGCGGGTGCTCATTTAACCAATCGCTGTTATTTGGTTGTGACGTATGTAATGCACCACTAACAGTGCTAACTGGTATATTAAACTTTTCCCAAATCTCATAGGAAGAAGGGCAATAACGTCTTTCCCCTTCATGAAATTCACCAAACATTCTCTTTGTTCCGGCTTTAAATCCTCGATCTCGGGAATCGTTGACATCACAGATTGTATGACTCTTCACTGATTGGCTGGTGCCTGAACTTGCACTTCTGGGGTTTTTGCGAACCGTCTATTGTATTCTGATTCCTGACCTAGTCGCTGGAGAGAAATTAAATTGAGCGGAGACACTAGGTGGCGCTAGCCTGGCTAATATTATCCATTCTAAATCAGCTTTTATGAATTTTCTACCATGAAATTTCAGATATCATGATATTCCCTCTTGAAAAAACAAATCTGAAATGGTTGTCTGATTCATTCATGCATATTTGAGTATCTAGCAGTTTCTCACGGGCGCTTTTCAAACCCTCCTTTTGGTTAGTTATATGAGACCACACGTTTTGAGTCTCAGACAGAGCATCAACAAGAAAACTGAAAGGAATTAAACTGTTAACTATGTTGTTTACAGCAAATATAACATTTTCAAACCAACAAAAGACAACATAACAATCTAAATATGTTCAGTTTTAGCAATTAATATCTCTTAGTGTACAAGCTTAATCCCTTGCTGTGAAACATTCCAGAAAAAGCTCCAACATTTCCACAGAGACGAGCATATGAAGCGCACCGTTAACTCCTTAATAAACAGCGTCTTTCTTTCTTTTGTGTTTCTTGTCAGAACTTCGTGCAGTCCGTGAGTAACCTGCTGATGGAAGAGAACCGCGACAGATGGGAAGAAGCACAACTGGTGAGCGTCAAACTTGTACCTGCTCTATAATCACGCTCTTTGTTCACATGTTTATGACCAGCACAATAATAACACCGCAGACACACCTATAGGGCCCAGATTAGCAGCGCGCCGGGACAAAGGAGCAGGTGGACTCGAGGCTGACAGGGGTGCGCTCACAAACAGCGTATAATGAGGAGGACAGTGGAGCCGCCGCCCACTCGCCCATCTGCTGCTTTTTCTGCTGCTGCTGTTTCTGCGCCTTCCACTGAACTTGTTTATCTCAGAGTTGTTGTTTTTTTTTAGTTTTTTTTTTTACATGCGTTGCTCCCAAGTCTCGTCAGCATACGGACTCACCATCAGCGCCGCGAAAACACCACTGACAACCACTGGACTGGAAAAAACTTGAGTTAAAATGATGTGAATTCATAATATTGGCTTAATACTGAGGGTGAAACGATATGCAAGTCTCACGATATGATACTGTCACGTAAGAACCTCACGGTACGATATTTATTACGATATCCTGTGAAAGCTCACAATATGGTGGATTAAGGATGGAACAAAATCCAAATGTCTCAGTACGATATTTTCACGATATACATGTCACTGTACGATATTTATTGTGATATTTTGTGGAGGACAAACTGTTAATATGCTACTTTTTCCTCTTAACCCTCTCCAAACAGGCATTGCAGATTTGGAACAGCTAAATTCCAATTACCTACTTACTCCACATCCATACTTTATGAGCTTTTTTTACTCAGGAGCCTTTTCTCTCATCCATGCTGATAAACGTGGACGATGCAGACTGCGCAAGAATGACTACACGCAAACGGCCTGCCAGAAGTGCAAAATACTTTTTTTGTTTATAAAGGATAAAAAAGTCAGGACTGTATATTACTACCCCATATATTATAATTTTCCCCAAATATCAGGTTTTTCCTGATACTAAAAATTTATTTGAGCCTGAGAGGGTTAAAATGCCTTGACAAGACTTAAAAGTGTTTCGATATTTCTTATGTTATTAGATTATTTTTTCAGACCAAGAGTTTGTTTTCATACCTGACAGTTTCGACTGCTCCCTGTGGTCTTCCTCAGAGTCACGTGATGTTGCTGTGACGTGTCCGGTCAGCTGATTTATACAAGTTTTGGAGCTGTCTTCCTACCAGTGGAGGCAGGACGACAGCGCCATCTGCAGTCCGACTTCCTCAGGACAGTATCCCAGGTGTGTGAGAGTAAAAAAGCCTCCTCGTCCCGGTTTATAGGGATACTGTCCTGAGGAAGTCGGACTGCAGATGGCGCTGTCGTCCTGCCTCCACTGGTAGGAAGACAGCTCCAAAACTTGTATAAATCAGCTGACCGGACACGTCACAGCAACATCACGTGACTCTGAGGAAGACCACAGGGAGCAGTCGAAACTGTCAGGTATGAAAACAAACTCTTGGTCTGAAAAAATAATCTAATAACATAAATTATCGGAAGACCAAATGAACCTCATCGGACTGTTATTTCTTCTTGTAGTCTGCACTGAAATGGAGCAAAGGATCATGGTCTATGTAGTTCTCTGTCTTTTTTTAGCTGTTGCTGCACCATAACTCTTAATTTAAGCAAAGAGACTTGTAATTTGATATATTGTGTCGATACGATATCACGATATTTAAGTTATTATGCAGATCTCTACTTAATACTAAATACACTTACATCTTTAATAAAATAAAGTCTCACAAAAGGAACAGCTTCAGCACCAGGAAACACTTGAGTTAAAATGATGTGAATTCATAATATTAACTTAATGATAAATACACTTATTACTAGGGATGGGCGTGATTAGTCGACTACTTGATAACTGATCATTAAGAATTTCGTCGATCACGTAAATTTTTAATAAACAAACTGAATGTAGGTTGCTGTGCGTAGCGTAAGGATAGAGGACACTGGAGTTGTGGCCTCACAGTCCCACGTTTTGGCTCTGTATCCCGGGTATGATCGGGTTTTTTGAGTATCCCGGTTTCATCATGGTGCATGTAGACGCAGTATCCTGGTTACTGCAAAATAAAGTTGAGTGCGCATGCATCCAAAAGACAAACAGTTTCCGGTCTTTTCATCACAACAGAAACCAAAATAAATATAGTGACCGACATAAATAAAGTGAGTGAAATGATCTGATTCTGGTCTGGTTCCTGTTTTGTCCAGTTCATTAAGTTTACTAAGTTACACATTCCAAGACCAGACTGTGAAAGGTCAAGATTTTCAACAATGATGGTGAATGGTTAGGAAAGTCAAATCAAATTAAAGTCTTGGACATTTGATTTTTCACACTAAGTTCAGCCCAGATTCTACACATTGAAAATCAAAACAATCTGATCCTCCACACATCCTGGATCTTATTCTTTGCTCTTAGTTCATTTCATGTTTTATAGAAGTATCGGATCGGGACTCGGTGTCGGCAGATACTCACATGAATCTGATCTGAGTCACATTTGATTTGCAACGTGAACTGTCCCTCCAAAAAATCAGATTTCAGCATTAAAAACTCAAATAAGCAACTCACGAGACTCATTCTGCTTTCTGACTGAATAATCGCCTTGAGAACTCCAAAAAAAAACGACAATTGTTGCCAGTAAAAGCTTAATTTGAACATAAAGCAGAACCATTCAATAATTTATTAAACTAATCTAATAATCGGAGTCATATGCGAAATGTAAATAGAAAAAAAAACACATGATTATAGTTTTAATAGTAGTTTTAATTACAGCCAAACCAGTCAAACCAACTCAAATCCAGATGAATAGTGATAACACGATACATTGTTTGCAGTGTGAGTGGGAGAGATACTGTAGCCTTCATATGTAAATCCGCTCTGAGGATAAAACGAATCCTCCATAAACATGTTGTGGACTCAGAGGAGGAGCAGTTGTTGTTATTATTGCCTTAAGGAGTCGTCGCTGCCAACTGCTCGGTGTCCAGACGAGTGCGGCGCTTCAGTCTGGAGGATTTTACGACTGAAACATGACATAGATTTGAGTTTATACGTTTACTCGCACTGCTGTTGTGTTTATCCTGGAAGAAGACGCCAAGAAGTACCATCAGGAGCAGCTAGTATTATAAGACTGTGAATGATTAGAGTGAAAACGTTCGGCTGGTTCAGGCGGCAGTGCAGGAGGTTGCCGGTTCAATCCCTGCTCGAGGCGCTTTCTGTCATCGGATTGACGCTTTGGAGCGACGTCATGCAAAGTTTATTGATCCACAAGTGAAATCATTTTGACTCAGCAGCTCACACATCACAATTTAATATAAAACACAGAGAATACATATAAATAAGATAAGATAAGATAATCCTTTATTGTCTCCCATGGGAGAAATTTGTCTTGGGACAGGGGGTAACATGTTTTATCAAAAAACAGGACAACACAACACAAAGCAGCACATAAACAAACACCATAAAACAAAGTAAATATGAGACCAGTGTGACCACGAGTGATGCACCAACACGACCCTTAAATTATCCTTAACAGGCAAGTCCTGCATTCTTCTGTTCTATTAATTATTGCACATTCCCTAAGCCTATGTGCAGTTTTAGTTATAATTATTGCACATTCCCTAAGCCTATGTGCAGATTTAATTATTGCACATTCTTTAAGCCTATGTGTAGCTTTAATGGCACATTCCCTACACCTATGTGCAGTTTTGATTGCACAATCCCTAAGCCTTTTATAATTATTTTTTAACTGCATTATCTGAGTTTAGCAGTTTAACAGCTAGTGGCACAAAAGAATGTTTGAATCTGTTCAGTTTACAGTTTGGGACCCTGAACCTTCTGCCTGATGGCATCAACTCAAACTGACTGTGAAGAACATGGGTTGGGTCATTGATCACCTTCCTGCTGAGCTTCCTAACAGTCTCCTCAAAAATTTGCTGAAGTGAGCTTGGGGCCACTGCCATTATTTTACCTGCTCTTTTAGTCAAGGTAAAAATCTGTGCTTTAAGTTTGACTGACAGGTTACCAAACCATGTTGACATGCCATAGTGTAAGATAGATTCTATGCATGCTTTATAAAACAACAGCATTACATTGGTGTCAACTCCATGTAACCTAAGCCGTCTTAAAAAATAGAGACGCTGGCTGATTCTTGAGCAGACAGACTGTACCTGCTGGCTCCACTGGAGCTGAGAATCAAATAACACACCCAAGTACTTATAACATGTCACCTGCTCTATGTCCCTCCCCCTGATATTAATGGGGCTGTGGTAATAATAAATTCTAAATAAGAAGCAAAAAAGAGCAAAAGACAGGTGTGAAATAAGACGTAATTATAAAAAAATGTATACTACCAGTCAAAACTTTTAGAACGCCACATTTTTTTCAATTTTTTTTTAACTTAAAATTATTCAGTTTATTGTGTCATTGCATTCTGATATGAAAGCATAAAACATATAAGAAATTTGAGTTAAAAAAGTAATCATGGAATCAGTTTGTTAGACCAAAACGTATTCTAAACTTTTGATTCATGAAAGCGTCCACCTTTGGCAGGTATAACAGCTGAACACACTCGTGGCTCGTTCTTTTTACAACAGAAATCAAATATTCTTCAGAAAGTTCTTCCCAAGTCTGTTGCAGAAGTTTCCATAAATGTGTGGCACTTGTAGGTTGCTTCACTCTTCTGTCCAGTTCATCCCAAACCAGCTCGATGGGGTTTAAGTCTGGACACTGTGCTGGACACTCCATGTTTTCAAGCTTTACCATCTTGTTCTTTTTTCCCGAGGTAGTTTTGGCAGAGCTTGGACTTGTGTTTTGTATCTTTTATCTTTTTTTTTTAACCTCTGTCTGTTCCGTTCTTTTCTTTGTACCATTTCAAGCTCTTCATTGGACTTGCACGACTTGAATTGCAATAAATAACTGGAAAAATGAGGGTGTTCTAAAACTTTTGACCGGTAGTGCATGTACAAGTCAAAATAAGAAAGATAACTAATAAAATATAATGTTGAGCAGCTACCATGGTGTATACACAATGCAGACACTAGTAAACGCAGACAAAAAGTTTAAAGATTGTCTGAAAACTCAAGCAAAAATACAAAATGGATTTAAACAGCGTATTTCCAGGAGCCTGTGATCAGTCCGAGCGTTCATGGTTCTGTTTAGGAGTTTGATTTTCAACAAAACGTGAGAGTGACGAACTGAAAAACTGCTGACGATTGCTTTTTAGTTTGTGACTGAAATATATTTATATGTGAGAGACTTGTTTAACAGCACAAATCAGCTCACCTGTTGTAGTTCCAGCCGAGTCAGCTCTTTCCGTTCAGACTGTGTTAAAATAATGAGTAGTGCCTTCAGTTAGCACCACACCCCCAGGGAATGGTCATGACATCGCTGCAGAGTATCAATACTTCACTCCATCCATCCATGCATTTTATTCTGCTTATGTGGACCCCGAGGCGTTCTCAGGTCAGCCGAGAGACGTAGTCCCTCCAGCGTGTCCTGCGTCTTCCCCGGGGCCTCCTTCCAGTGGGACATGCCCGGAATACTTCTCGAGGGAGGCACCCAGGAGGCATCCGGAACAGATGCCCAAGCCGCAGTATCTCTAAGGGAGGGCTGAGGAAACTCATTTTGGCTGCTTGTAACCGTGATCTTGTCCTTTCGGTCGTTACCCAAAGCTCATGACCACAGGTGTAGGAATGTAAATCGAGAGCTTTGCCTTTCAGTACAGCTCCCTCTTCACCACAACGGTCCGATACAGCGACCGCATCTCTGTCGACTAGGGATGGGCATTCGATGAAATTTTCTTAATCGATCGTCAGAAGAATTAACGATCAATTATCGATCATTAACGTTTTTATATTAAAATGATCATCATTATTATTACTATCTGCACTACTAATCTGCATAAAAAATTCAACTTTACGACATATAAACCGTAACGACTCTAGAGCCACATCAGCCCGTTTGACATTATAATGTGTTTAATTCAGTTTTGCGCAACTCTCACAGAAACGAAACTTAAAACCGCATCGCTAATTTGCATAAACTAAGCGAAGATAAAACTACAGCTCTTGTGTCGCTGATGCGGTCAACTTCTGTCGGATTAAAAGACATGACTCAGTGGAATACAGGTTAGTGTGACCATATTTGCGTTTGTCAAAACCAGGACACCGTACGGGGGGAGGGAGGTGGGGACTCGTCATCGACATTGAGCGACTCTCACCTGGTAAAACTTTTTCCCACTGGACACCGAAACATATGTGCTGCTTTATACACTGTGCACATGGACTCACACTTGTCCCGAACGCAACAGAAAGCGTGGAATTTCTTGTACAAGTCTTCGTTAAATATGTATTTGTGCTTTGGAACGTTGCAGACTGACCGACTGTTTGTGTCTCGCTCCTTCTGAGTGCAGAGAGACACATGTACAGACCTGTTTGGTCACGCTACGTACAGCAACCTGCGTTCGGTTTGTCGATTAAAATTAACGTAATCGATGAAATTCTTAATGATCAATTATCGATTAATCATGCCCATCCCTACTGTCGACGTCCACCTGTCAATCTCAAAGCTCCATCCTCCCCTCACTCAAGAACAAGACCCTGAGATACTTGAACTCTTCCACTTGAGGCAGGGACTCCCCACCCACCTGCAGAGGGCAAGACACCTTTTTCCGGTCGAGAACCATGTCCTCATTCCCCTTGCACATATACAGAAATTGTTAGCTCGTTGGGGTCAGGGAAGTAACAAAAATAAACCAAGATGTAAAATGGAATAAATTAAATAATGTTTAATTAACAGGGGTGTAAAAGGTAAATTAACAAAAGACTAAAATATACAGAAAATAACTTAAACTAAGAAACAGAACAACAGAATAAATTAAGTTTGGTGCCACAAAAGGGGTCACGCAGGCTTACACAAAACGAGTGGTAAAATGAAGGGACACACACGAACTAAAACACAAGTTCCCAAAATGAAACAACATAAGCCCAAGAACAGAATCGAGTGACCAAATTAAAAAGGCACAAAACAGAACTAAAATAAACACATGAAGACCTGCAGCCTCTATCAGGTGCAGGTAATCTTCTTAAATAGGGGGAGGTGGCTGGTGGGCGTGGTCATGCCCCACCAATCACGAATCAGGGCTCAAGCAGCAGAAATCAAGACATGCCAGCAAAATATTTTAAAACACACAAAACAAATTGCAACTGCAGGTCTGGGGCCGTAATAGAAATGTAGCTGCTTGTGAAGAGAAGGGCATCTGATGTAAAAATCTGCCAAATCATAATAAAGTTAGCTGCTCTCTCTCTCTGTGAATTAATAGTTGAAGTTATTAAACAAGAATAAGATTTTTGATAATTAATACATTTCACCGCTCCAGTCTGAGGATAGAGTTTTAAATCAGTGACAAATTGTATCTTAGACTCCATTTGTGTTCGAAGAATCGTCTTGTCCTGACAAAGCTGCTTTTTGTTCCCTCTCCCTTACATTTTATTTATCAGAATTTTTCACATTAAAGGAGACACTGTGATAGAAATTTAGATTGTGGAAATATTTCTTTCAACCTGTCTTTGTGTAAATGAATGTGATTTCTACCTGAAACCCAGACCAGTCATTAACATGTGTAAAGGTTCATCAGACACAACTGTCTCCTCCTTCAGACATATAGGTGAGTTTCAGCTGACGTCATTGTTATTAAAAGCCCGCGTCACATGCTGGGAAATATTTTGGTCGGAGGCAAGAAACAGGATAACGGTCAAACACAGTGCGTAACCTCGCGTATTTATCCCCGATAATGGTAAATTCCTGCTGCATTATAAGATGCACAAATAGAAGCACGGAAGAAGGAAAATGTCTTTTTCGTATTCTGAGTGAAAAGAACCGCTAACGGTGAATTAAACGGCTTTCAAACATCCGCAGAGCAAACGTAGAAGATCCTAACAAACCGTGGACTCCAACAAGTTCAACAACACATCGAGACTCTTGGAGGTTTTCATCTTTTCTGCTGTGAATGGCCCAGGAGTTTCCACCAAGTCATTGTGGATATCGCCCAAGTGAATATTTGTCCAGGTAGTTGGAGATTCTGACCAGAAATTTGGTTTGGTCCAGGTTTTGTCGGGGTTGAAAAGGGTGATTTGGCTCCATCGACGCTTATGACCAATTTCTGGTCAAATTGTCTTCGGTCCTCTGCTGTTAGAGTGGATAAATAACCAGGATCAATACCGTTTTAGTGCTTTCTCGCTCCGTCCGTCATGTTGAATTAGTGTTTATTGCCGCCGACCAAAATAATTCCCAGCATGCAACGCGCGCTTTTGTCAACAATGAAACTCGCCTATAGTTGTTGTCTTCAACTATGTTAGTTTAGCACGAGCCTCAGAAACCAAAGTCACTCTGCTTTTTAATGTATGAACCTTGTATTTTTGTATAAATACTCAGAGCTCAAATGCTCTCGGGCAGATACTGGGGAGAAACTCTGGAAGAATGGAGTAGGGACATACTGCTGGTGGCCCTGTCCATATCTGCTGTAACAAGAATAAACTTTGGTCTATATTCCAAAAACTCATCGGGCTTCGCAAATGGATTCATTATTTATCTTCAAGAGATATTTAATTTTTGCCACAACAACACTGTGCAAAAATCAACATGTTGTATATCTCGTTTGTAGCTGTTTTCCAATTTTACCCACAATACAACTTCAGTAATTCACGGGTGTCATAGATTATAACCTCACATCAGAAAAAACGCATGTCTTTAAAACATCTCTGCAACCTTAGATACACTGTATGGTTCCACTAATCGATCTAAAATATGTCAATTAATTATATTACATGGCAAATATCTGTTTATTTGTTGTTTTATGGTGTAATTTATCTATATATTTTTCTGTCCTCAGTTGGGTCCAAACATCCGTGAGCTGTTCCGTTTGCTGGAGGACTTTGTGGACGTGATCGGTCTGAGGATGAAGGATTTTCAGGACATGTACGAGGTCACAGAGAACCTGGGTGAGTCTGCAACTATCACAGACACAAAGGATTATATCTGAGGTTATATAGTCTCTTATTATTGTAGCAGGTTCCAGACGCTTTCATTGTGAAGCGACAGACGATTGAAAACTGTACAGCTTCAAACTCACGTCTCTGACTCCGTCAAACTCGAGCAGATGGCGGTGGACACGTGTTCTTGTTTACTCCTTTACACTCGTCTCGTACGCTCTTTTATCTGGTTAAATAAAGGTTAAATAAAATACACAAACACAAAGACTAGGGAATGGAATAAAGATGAATGCAAAATAATAATTCACTTAGATTTTATGCTTTAAAGAACAGACAGCATATTGACTGACCTTTACTCAGTTACATCTGCTTCCCACTCCTTTTTGGTCCAGTTTTTTTTGTTGTTGTTGTTGTTGTTATTTCTGCTGTGATTTCATTAATGTTATATATTCTATTGTAAAAGAATGTAAATTTCTTACTTGCCCAAATAACTACATAAATCAAGTAAATTGTGTTTCACAGAGTAGATTAATTACAACATACACGTACTTTAGTATTACAGTTTTGAAGTAACAGCGCACGTGAGTCTTTACATGACAAAACGATAAAATTATTTAAACTTTAACTAATGATCCCAAATTGGAAAGCTGTAATATTTTCGTGTGTCTGTGTTGGAGCTGTCCATGGTGCTGAAATTGAATTCTCCTCTTCCTGGGATCATTATGGAAACGATTTATTTCACAAAATCGTTAACCAATGCATAATGTTATATACTCTTTATAAAGGGTGAAGTATAGTTCTGCGTGGACTCAACGCGCACTGCCGCTGTCGCCTTGTCGCCATCGTTTTTGATTTATGGATCTGCGTCGAGGTCCATGCACCTCAAAGTAATTCACCGCCAAAATGCTACGGGGCTAGAATATATGCCCAGTCATATATACTGTCTATGCGTGTGATCTGTAGATGTATAATCTCCGAAAAGTTTAACATGAATCATGTCCAACGCGATAGTAGCACAGAACAGACTCACCATCAGCAGAACATCCCTCTGTCACAGAAAGAACACTCATATTCCACTGAGTCGTGTCCTTTAGTCCGACAGAAACTGAACCACATCAGGACACAATAACGAGCTGTTTTTTTGAGGCTTAGTTTATGCAAATGAGCCATGCGGTTTTAAGTTTTGTTTCTGTAAAACGTAAACAAATATGCTCAAAGCTGCATTAAACACATTATTAATCAGTGTATATTGAAAGAAAGGACAGCGGAGTACAGGAAATGTTTGTAGAGTGGTGGTAGAGACCATGCTGTCTGCGTCGTTTCGATGTGTAGTTAGAAAATTTCGGAGGTGCACGTCGGTTACACTCAGCATAGGGAGTTCACATCGACACAGACTCTCTGCATCGTGACGCAGACGATTTGACGCTGGACCGTAAACTGGCCTTAAGAATTTACTTTATTGTGCAAGAATGAAGTATGTCTTTGTCTGAAGTACAGCTGCAAACACAACACGGACGTCAGGACAGAGTCAAAACAGAGACGCCACACGGACAGAGATTATATTTACAGCACTGCTACTGTTTTTGTCTGTTCAGCAAGGTTATGACTGATGAAAGTAATTTGTTTTTTATTTACTTTTATTTTTTTATGTTTTTTGGTTTTATGTGTGACTTCTCTATAGCACCATCCAGAAGCGAACTCAAACGAAAGACAAAACCTCCGATACTGTGATATAATCTATGGCAGATTTCTACAAATATATTTAAACATCATTAATAAATCCATGTGTTTTGTGTTTCAGTGTTGAGCATCCACAAGCGTCCGGTGTCGGGTCACGCAGACGTCAGTTTCCCCATGAAGGGCTGGAGGGGGATGGTGGACTGGGCGCGTAACTCTGAGGACCGAGTCACTGTGCCCAAGAACATCCTGGTCACTGGGAAACCTGGTAAGAACATCACTATAGGGAATATACTGAAGCTGAGAGCACATTAGGCCTGGTTTGAAACTGGTTTAGTGCTGCTTTTGTCTTGGTTTGGTCCTGGTTTGGTCTTGTCTTGTCTTGTTTTGTTGTTCTTGAGCTTTGCGTTGCATTTTTGTATGAAAAGCGCACATAAATAAAGTTTGTTGATGTTGTTGTTTTGTATCCTGATTAAATTCTGGTTTGATTCTGCTTTAGTCCTGGTATAATCCTGCTTTAGTCCTGGTTTGATTCTGGTTTACTTCTGGTTTTGTCCTGATGTAGAGTTGGTTATGTTCTGGTTTAGTCCTGGTGTGGTTCTGTTTTAGGACTGGTTTGGTTCTGTTTTAGGACTGGTTTGGTCCTGGTTTGGTTCTGGTTTAGTCCTGATATAGACTTGGTTTGGTCCTGGATTAGATATAATTTAGTCCCGGTTTAATCCTGATTTAGTCCTGCTTTGGTCCTGGTTTAGTCTTGTTTTGGTCCAGGTTTAGTCTTGTTTTGGTCCAGGTTTGGCCCTGGTTTATTCCTGATGCACATTTAGTTTAGTCCTGGATTAGGTATAGTTTAGTCCAGGTTTAGTCCTGTTTTAGTCTCGCTTTGGTCCTGGTTTAGTCTTGGATTGGTCCTGGATAAAATATAATTTAGTCCAGGTTTAATCCTCTTTTAGTCCTGCTTTTGTACTGGTTTAGTCTTGGTTTGGTCCTGGTTTGGTTCTGGTTTAGTCCTGATGTAGAATTGGTTTGGTCTCGTTGAGCCCTGGTTTAATTCAGATTTTGTTTTGGTTTGGTCCAGGTTGAGTCCTCATGTAGACTTTAGTTTAGTCCCGGTTTGGTTCTGGTTTAATTCTAATTTGGTCCTAGTTTAGCCCTAGTTTAGCCCTGGTTTAGACCTGGTTTAGTCCTTGTTTAGTCCTGGTTTAGTCCTGGTTTAGTCCTGGTTTAGTCCTTGTTTAGTCCTGGTTTAGTCCTGGTTTAGTCCTGGTTTAGTCCTGGTTTAGTCCTTGTTTAGCCCTGGTTTAGTCCTGGTTTAGTCCTGGTTTAGTCCTGGTTTAGACCTGGTTTAGCCCTGGTTTAGTCCTGGTTTAGTCCTTGTTTAGTCCTGGTTTAGTCCTGGTTTAGTCCTTGTTTAGTCCTGGTTTAGTCCTGGTTTAGTCCTGGTTTAGTCCTTGTTTAGTCCTGGTTTAGTCATGGTTTAGTCCTGGTTTAGTCCTGGTTTAGTCCTTGTTTAGCCCTGGTTTAGTCCTTGTTTAGTCCTTGTTTAGTCCTGGTTTAGTCCTGGTTTCCTGGTTTAGTCCTTGTTTAGTCCTGGTTTAGTCCTGGTTTAGTCCTGGTTTAGTCCTGGTTTAGTCCTTGTTTAGTCCTGGTTTAGTCCTGGTTTAGTCCTGGTTTAGTCCTGGTTTTAGTCCTTGTTTAGCCCTGGTTTAGTCCTGGTTTAGTCCTTGTTTAGTCCTGGTTTAGACCTGGTTTAGTCCTTGTTTAGTCCTGGTTTAGTCCTGGTTTAGTCCTTGTTTAGTCCTGGTTTAGTCCTTGTTTAGTCCTGGTTTAGTCCAGATGTAGACCTGATTTTCCCTGTTGTTTACTTGTTTACTGACTCGTGATGAGGCTGATTTGAAGTTGACATTAATTTGACGTCTCTCTGATCTGAAGCACAAATTGTTGTTTTTCTCGTCTTAAAATCACAATTTCCATTTTCCATTAGCTGTTGATGCTTCACGTTTCTTCATGAATTTGTAATAAGAGGCCAATCTGAAAATCAAAAAATCAACACGAAATGATGATTTTCTCTGTATAAATTTGTCACTGGAACTTTTGTCTATTGTCTGTAAAATCATAATAGAGACATTCAGTGTTCAGAATGAGATAATTGTCACTTTAATTACACCTTGTGATTTGATTTAAAAATAAGCTGCAGCTGAATCACCGTCACAACACAAAAAACACTTAATAATATTTGTTTTGCATTTTATTAGTAGAATATTTGACGTTAAAGTTTACTTCTTTATTTATAATATATGTAATGTTCACTTAAATTACTAGAGTTTGTATTTATTTGTCCTGTTTAATGATTGAGAACATTATATTTGTAAAAGAAAAGCTTTGATATACAGTATGTTGTCGTCCTCTGCTTAGTTTTTGTTTGTTAAGTGGCTATGTTCAGACTGCAGGGCTTAATGGTCAATTTGGATTTTTTTGTGAAATCTGATTTTTTTGCGAGGTCGTTCACATTTCCAATTAAATGTGACTTGTCTGTGAACTCCAGTGTGAACTTTAAATGCCCCCAAAGTGTCCCGCATGAGCACTGGAGGACACAACGACGTCCCACACAGCGAGCGTGCTCAGAGTTTACGGAAGTCATCTAAATGCTGGGCTTGTCTCCCAAAATATGGTCCAGTTCTTGGTAAAATGGACAAGTTTTTTTTTTTTGTGATCAAATTTTTATTAAAGTGTTATTATTTGTAATTATACATATTCCAGTTAGCATTGCATTTTTTCTCCTTTTTAAGCCCCCCACCCTTAATTCCCTATTGATGGGCATTAACATACATATGTACTCACACATATACATAATTACATACATACATACATACATACATATATATATTATATTACACACACTCATATACACACATATATATATACACATATACATAAAAACATATATACAGCATCTACATAAACACACATACCAGTATACACATATTACAGTATATATGTTATATATACATACAAATGTACATACACATTCATATACACACAGACACACCCACACACAAAAAAAAAACCCATCCAGGTTTATATTTCCTCTACACAAAACAGACAAGTTTCCTCCGTCAAAAGACATCAGCAGAAATAGCATCATACACACTTATTATGTACCATACATAGAAAGTTTGCTGAGAGTACATATTGTGTACATTCTAAGAACATATATTATAATGAAAAAACCCCGTAACAACTAAACAATGGATTCAGATCTCAGTTTGATTAACAAATTGGACCAGCAAGAAATGTTTTTGTTTTTTGCTCCATGCATTCGGGCAGCAGAAAGCTCCAGTTGAACGGTTTCTCTGAAAGACAGGAGCCATTCTCTCACAGTCAGAGGCTGAACTGATTTCCACCGACATATTACCAAAATGGACAAGTTACACGTCCATGGCCGCTTCGTTTGTTTGAGTCTTTAGCCTCCTTGTTTTTGACTCGCAGGCTCTTTATTTTTTGTTGATTTTTTTGGAGCCAGGACCGCCTGTAGCCAGGGTCGGACATTTCTTTGGCAATCATTAAAAAAAAAAAAAAGCCCAGTAGTGATAAGACCCATCTAATTTGGCCTGAATACAGTGATCCGCCCAAATATTAAATAACTCGCTAACCTCGCTTTCCCTCCATTGACGAGACTCTGAGCCTGACGTGTAGGTGGGATGAATGTGACCTGTCTGTTCAGACTGAAGTCACGTGTCAAAAGATCAGATATGTATCAGTTTTAGGAGCAGATATCCAAGTGGCCTGTGTCACATTTGGAAAAATCGGATCTATATCGTTCAGACTGTTGTTAAAAGGGGCCAAAAAATCGGATTTGTTTGTTTGTTTATTTGAGACAGGGACAGTGCACAATTTTTACTTTAACCTTAACAGGAGAGATGCACTGTACCAGGTTGTAGCATCAGCGCTAATTTCCACTTGTCGTCCCTGGGCAGGTTCACTGATCGATTTTGTATTTAACTGACCTTGACTATCAACTGTTAGCTGAGGTCTAGTTGAGGTATTTGGGCCACTTCAGTGACATGTAAATTGTTGCATTATAGGTCCTAACTCAGGGGTGTCAAACTCATTTTGGTCCGGGGGCCGTATCCAACCTACTTTGATCCCAAAGGGGCCGGATCAGAAAACTCATGTCATATAAACCCCAAAATAACAATAAGTTCAAATATTTGTGCAGAGAAACACAAATCTATTACAGAAATTTTTTTAACTGATGAAATCTTTCTTTTTACAAATATGATAATATTATGAACAACCTGAAACTTAAAAAAAAAATGCAATTCAACGCAATGTTTTAAAATTAACTTGTATGCAAATAGGAATAGGTAAGTTTTTCTTGCACTTTCTCCTGCACTTGGCTCGACTTTTCTCAGTTTTGACATTTTGCTGATCAGGGTGTCAACAGTCAAAACGATCGTCTTTAAAGCGTTGGAAAGAGACAAGTCTTCATTTGTGCTGCTCTGGGGGGAGGGGCCACGTACAGAGAGGCTGGAGACACTGCTGTGATAAACACCACAGAAAATGACCAGCACTTTAATTGAAAATATTATTAAAATATTTTAGTAGAAAATCAGCCGAGGGCCAGATTAAAGGTCTTGGAGGGCCGGATCTGGCCCCCGGGCCTTATGTTTGACACCTGTGTCCTAACTTATCACACAAAAAGCTTTATGTGGTGTTAATCTCATTATCTTACTGTTGTAATTTTAGCATTTTATACCTTTTTTTTAAATAAACCCAATCAGATACAAAATAGTTGTACACCTCCAGGCTTTCAAAGGCTTTCATTTGGCTCGCAGAGTAATACGAGGTCTGCAGCACCAGATCATTTATAATAATCATCACCTCAACGCCGGCCAAATCCTCCAAATTGTATTCTCCATATCATACGGATCATAACCTATATTTAGACTTATTTTTTTCACGATAGTGGGTCTGTTTTAGCCAGGCTGGTGCCACCTAGTGCCTCCGCTCAATTTTATTTCTCTCCAGCGACTAGGTCAGGAATCAAAATTCAATAGACTGTTTGCAAAAACCCCGGGAGTGCGAGTTCAGGCACCAGCCAATCGAAGCGAAGAGTCATATATTTAGTGTTGTCAACGATTCCCGAGATCGAGGATTTAAAGCCGTAACAAAGAGAATGTTTGGTGAATTTTATCAAGGGGGAAGACGTTATTGCCCTTCTTTCTACGAGATTTGGGAAAAGCTTAATATACCAGTTCGCCCCCTTAG